CAGACACCCCGCCCATCAGAATGACACAGAGACAGGCTCTAATACCCCTATTCGTTACCATCAGCGGCGCTGTCTGCGAGGAGACGTCTGAAGGTGTCCTAAATCTGCCACTGATTTATCCTTGGACGATGTTGATTATGTCCACGGATGCCACAGAGATGGCGGAAAAAACAGACAGTGTGGGGGTTTCGTTGGCTTTTCTTTTGTTTGGTTTGTTTGGTTTTATAAATATTTTACGCCTACATTTACAAAATGTATAATATATTAAGGAGAAGTGCTGCTTCTTTCTAATGAAGGTGTTTTACGTCCTCATAGACACATTTTAGATCGCTTAGGAGACGGGCAACCGGCCCTATCTGCCAGGGCCAACTCCGGATGAGAGGCACACAACATCCCAGAAGGGCGCCTTCGATTCTGTCTGACAGGACCACCTCCTGCTTAATAAGATACAGCATTCCAGCAAAAAAGATGGGGACCCTTTATGAAACCATATTCCCAATGCTTGTACCTGTGGGTTGAGGAAAAACTCAAAAATTTTTGTGTGCAGAAGATGTTCGTTTTCCTGGTGGAGAGGTTAAAATATCGTTTTATGAGACGTTATGTGCCATTCAGCCAAGTTTGGGTATAACTTTTTCTTCTTCGGGTGTCAGGTCTGGAGCAGACATTGACGATCATGGTACCCCATTCCTTCCTGCTGTCTGTCTTCTTGATCAGCATATCAGCACAGTAAGCAGGGTCAACCCCCCCCCCCCCTTTTTCCATAAATTAAGGCGAAGGGTGTAACGATTACACCATGGACTCTGGTCAGACAGAGAGTTATACGGGGTGCCCACTACGGATGGAATCGGACGATAGGGTCGATCGCCCGACTCGGTCGCCACAAAAACAAACGTGTTTGATATTTCAGTTTCAGGCGAAAGAGTCAAGCGATGGGCTCGATCCAGCCGTTGTGGGCACCCCGTATTAGTTGCACCATCCGTATCTGTCCTGACTCTGGGAAGAGCACCGTCCCAGTGAGTTGACGACCTCTGGACACGCTATGGTTTGGGGGTTACGGTGGTAGTTTGGCCATTGTCTCCAGTCTGAATGCCGTCTGGACCCTTCCCGATTTGATTCGATTAGGAATCTGCGTGCTAGCAGAATTTAGGCCGGGAATCCCGGCTCCGGATCTTGGCGATTGTATCTAGAATTTGGTCACTGGAAAGAAAAGTTATACTCAAAAGATGCCCGGATGAAATTATGTGCGTGGGGAGAGGGTTGGGTGTTTTTTATACGATGCTTGTGTGATAAAGAAGGATTTATGTGTGGTTGGGGGCTGGATGTGGAGGAGGTATATGTGCTAAATTATGTACGAACGTGCGTGAGTGTGTACGTACGTCGTGAGTACAAACGTGCGTGCGTGCTAGCGTACGTGTGTGCGTGCGTGCGTGCGTGTGTGCGTGCATGCGTTCGTATGTGCGTGCGTGCCTGAATGTGTCTGTGTGTGTGTGTGTGTGAGCATATATGCGAATGTGTGTATGCGAGCACATTTGTGTGTACGTATGCATGT